CTTTGGTTCTTCCACCCGTCTTTGTAATTTGTTTCGCCGCCGATATTCCTCGATAGTTATCGGTTGCGGCCCTGTTTGTACAACTTCGGAGGTTTGAGGAACCTCCTCAGTTACTCTTGGAGGATCTTGATTTTCCCTCTCTGCCTCTAATGCGAACCTCTCCCATCTATAAAAAATGGAGTCAAACTCCTCCTGGGAGATTTCTTGCATGAGAACAAGGAGTGAAGAAGAAGAAAGGGAAAAAAAAATTATATAATTTAAGGAAAGCCAAAAAAAAAATCTATTATGAAACTTAAAATCTTCCTTTTAAAAAATTTTTTTTTTTTTTTTTTTTATTAATTTGGTAAAAAAAAATTACTTATTAGTTACCCTAAGCAGGAATCTGCTACTTGGCCGGCGGTAAACGCCGAAGAGTTCTAAATATTAAAACTTATTCTATATATTTTTTTTTTTACCATTACATAACTTATTGATAGCAGCTTATAATTGATTGAACCAATTGCATCCGTTCCTTTGGTTTGAATTAATTTTCCTCTGTTAACTGCAGATTTTAAATAGTTTTTGCGATCATTCTTTATGTTGTACTGATATATTTCCTGATAGTCAAAATTGATGATTTTTCGAGCATATTTACTAATGTATTCCTTCGTATTGTCCAAATTATGATCCACCGCATTATATTGAAACGTCAATTACACTGTGTTTTTTTTTTTGTTTTTTGTAGCACAGTGTTATTTGTTGCGTTGGTGTTTTTTAGAAGTAGCCAGGATCAAGCTAGTCTGCTGAAAATAAAGCAGACTGGCAGGATCGCCATAACGAAGGTTTTAGTACTAAATAAAACGAGTTTTGTTTTTAGATGCAACTTCACATGTCGCATAACAAAATCTGTCCTGTTCTTTATTGAAATCATCTTATTTATACTCTAACATCTTATGTACTACTTATTTACTACAATACATATTTACTTAAAATTCTTACTAGCTGAATCTCTCGCTTGCACATATGAGCATGCATTCATATGTGCCTAGCTCAAAGCATAGCTCAGTGAAGTCACCAACACACACACAACCATTTCTAATGTGGAGCTACAAGCAATGCATCCACAGACATATCTACATGTACCAAGCGTGAAGGTGCTAGCAGCGCAGTCGTACATATTTACATACATAGAGCTAGCGCATGCACCAGATATAGCTTGTGCCGCTTGTGTGTTTAGCGTGTGAAAATAACAAAGTAAGGAATTTGTTTATGCTGCAAAAATGCATAACACAGGCGTGTGGCTTTGTTGTTGTTAGTGACTTATTCTGATATACTACACCATTTTCCCACGCCATTCTGAATTACTTTTTTCGCTCCCCCAAATTACGATCGCGAAATACCCCATTCCTACGGGCACATTCTTATTTCGATTTGACAGTTCTCTCTCTCGGTGTTTGGTTTTTGTTTTTCTTCGCTGCAAAATTTATGCAAAATTTATAAGTATCCGTATTAAATTAGGGTAATCAACATTGATAA